GATGTTGAGAATATTTTAAGAATGAAGAAGAAAAAGGGAAAAAAAGAAGAAGGGGTTGTGGGTCTTTTCCTTTATGGTGGGATCACATGCTGTGTTGGGCTGTTCTCTTTTTTCTCTTTTGGCGTTTGCTGTTTATGGGTTTCGAGGGAATTGTGGATCTTTGGGTTTTTCTTGTTATCGTATGCGGACTGGGCAGTTGTCGGTATGTTCGACTTTTTTGGTTGTTCGACTTTGTGTCTCTGGCTATCGTTTGATCTCTTATGTGGTGCATGGATGCTTTTCTCATCTTTGGTTGTCTTTTTGATATTTTTCTGGGTGCATATTACTTTCTTCCATATTATGTTATGCGTCTACGAATGCTAAGGTATCAGCGGTCAGTACTATTTTAGGGTTATTGTTTTCCGAAACTAGTTTGTATAGAGTAACATGGCGTGAGCCCAATTTTTCATTGCCTTGTCTCTAGGCATTTTGTGATTTCTGTGTGTATGAACATAGTTTAGAGGCTAGGGAATTTGTGTTGTAAATTAATAGTCATCATATTCCACTTTCACATTGATTTTTCATCAGTTGCATCAAACTCGTGCAAGGCTGGGGGACTCCCTTTGAGCACCATCTGGATTAAATTTCAAATTCATTTCAAGAATTATGCCAATTACATAAACTACAGTTGACGTTACCCTAATTTGCAAGAAAAGCATATGTATGTCAATAGTATACTATCGTCATATGCTCCTTAAGACAGATTTCTTAAAATTCACACCCTCAAGGTGTTAAAAACGTACAACTCCCAATGAGGTTTTTGTAATGCTTTCAAGGGATAATCACAATTTTGAGAGGCGGCTAGTTTTTCGGTTTGTTATCTGAATGCCGGAATCCGTTTAAAGTATATAGAACAAAAGCGCATCTCCATTTTTCACTTCAACTAAATGAATTTACACCTAAAAAACGTTCTAAGGATATTAATGTACAAGAGCAACACACAAGAACGCAAAAAAAGACCTTTCCAAGCAGTTGCATCAACACCATCAACAAGACGGGCTTGCAATCGTTCATAGCAAGCCACGGAAAAAGCCGTGTCATGCAAAAAGTTAGAATCACCTCTTGAGCGGCTTATAAAGGACAACAGTCACATACTTAGACTGGAACCTATGGGTCAGGCCAAGGGCAACAACAGATTGAGGCTGCTGTCCTTTCTCCATAAATAGGTGGTTCAGCACCACATGCTGCGGTTTTGAACCACCTGCTTCTTTGTGGTTATCGGAGCCAAGGCCTGAGGAGTGAAGTTGAGGAGGGACCAACATAGGGTCTTTTGCAAAATCTTCTTCTCCCGGAAAAATTTGACTGTAGCTGGACTCGGGTGATGAGGGAGGCTCGAATTCTGCCACGCTATCCAGGTTTTCGGGAACGTAATCCTATAGTTAATTAAAAAAAAAAAGTAGTTAATTAATCACTACCGCTCGAGAAACAGTTCTTTACGAGGAGTCAAGTATAAATATATGAAAACCAAAAGTTAATGACATAATCGATAATCAACTAGCTGATTCGTGTTTGGAGTGCTGTGTGAATAGGGGTCAGGTCATAAACTTCTCGAAGGTCACCTTAATAAGAGACTACTGAATAAATATGGATCCTCGTATTTATATTTGTTACCTTCAACATCTTGTGGAAATTTAATTAGGCTTATTGGTTGAATGTGCATGCCTACCCCAACTTGCTTGGGACTAAAAGGCTATGTTGTTGTTGTTGTATTGGTTGAGTGTGCATGGGCAGATTATGTTAGTATTACCTAATATACAAACCAAAGATGATATTTCCATGAATACAAAAATTAACTTTATAGTAACAATAATAATATCCACGAACCAACAACAGAGAGTGCTGGAAATGAAAAATTAACTGCATACCCAACCTACAAACCTATCTTTGTGTTACTCCCGAAATAGTATATCATGTCCAATCTTTTTGGGTCAGAGAGAGTGGTAGAAGAAAATACATGCAATAGATGTAGTATCCACTTACATGGACATCGAGAACATTACAGACACTGCCTGTATCATCTGTTTCACTCGGAAGATCAGGGATGTATTTAACTTCGCCGTCCACAATGAGTCTATATCTGAATATGCCTGATGGAAGGACCAAAAGAATCGAATGATCCTTTCCTGACCTTTGAAGTAGTTTTCTGGAAACACAGAACATATCTTATGTGAGGAAACCAGGTTACAAACTTGTTTCCAACTGACATGTTATGTAATTGATTCAAATAAAGGAGAATAAGAAAAAGGTATATCATAATGAGCATCACCTTGTCTTCCAGTTGTCCCAAGATCCCTCCACAGCCACATTGTTGCCACCAAAGCTCCAGGTTATTATAGTTGGAATGCCTTTTTCAAGGGGGCGATCAAGAGCACGTCTAGATTCATTCCGCAGCAAATGAGTAGATGAAGTGCCACCGTTTCTTTGTGATGGAAGTACAGGGGTCTGGCAAGGTGAAGAAATATAAGGTATTCCATACCAATAAAAATTAACAAATGAGTACATATGTTTTTTCAAGAAAGGAAAATTTCCCTCCAAATGAGCTTAAAATTGTCCAGCAATTTACAGCACGAGCTGGAAAAGAACCTTGCCAGATATCACTGATATGAGAACACGACAGCAATGATCAAAACCAGAGAATGGAAAATAACTATTAGGCAAGAATCATCACTTGCAAAGCTCTTGATGGATTCACTACTAAAATGAAGGTCCAATAATATTATCCGGATAGCCAATAACACAACTTACTTTCTTTATGGTGGATTGGTAACCGTGTCGTATTTCAATAAGCCATATTTAATCAGGTATTTAACTGGATAATATTTCCTTTTACTAGAGGCTGTGTGGAGGGGGAGGTTCCACTCAAAATTAACAATTCCAGAGATGCAAACACATACCCAAAGCATCTAAAGGCGAAGAAAACTCTAAATAATATTATGGTGTATGATTATCAGTAATCGTTGATCATACATCAGGAAGTTACTAATTATTGCTTGGCTACAATGAGGTGATGTGGGAAACAGTCAATGTATATATGTTTGGTGTTAGATTAGAGCTAAGGGTTGGAGAGGGGGGTGGAGCCTTGGGGCATTGAATGCTAAGAGACAAAAAGAAAAAACAGGAGATTAAGCTGCTTAATCAGAACAGGACCTTACCCTACCAGGTATAACATGCGTATTTGAAACACAAGTTCATTTAGAAGTGAGTTGGAATAGTAGGTATTTATTTACTAGCAGGCATGTCAGTGTAATTGCTTTCCAATAATCTTCTACAAGATTCTTGTACTCCAGCATTGTTGTAGCTTTGCTTGCCAATGACAAGATAACCTCATTTATGATTCCACAGCTTTTTCGAAAATTAGCGAACAAGAAAAGGGGATGAGGATATTATAACAGGGAATGATGAAAAAACTAAACTGCGAATGAGGATGTAATTAACCTAAGGAAAAACAAAAAGGTTTCTTCTGAGCATGCCAAAGCAACCATATTCACTTAACATTAATTTAAACATTATCCAATTTTCAATGATTTCATCAACGTTCTACGGTACCATAGTTAAATTTCTGTCAATGCCTTTATTCAATACCCTTAAGAGGACACTGATGTCAAAACATCAAACTAGGTTGCTCAATATTACGTCATTGTCTGGAGGTATGTTCTTTCGGCTAGAAAGAGCACGAGAGAAACATTTACATAAATATAAAGAATCAGATCCTTCCCAATGCACAAACTATTTGTTTACATATGAAATCTGCCAACGTAGAAGTTCACCTGAAAAGAAACAACAGCAACATGATAACTTTGGACAGAAACAGAAAAGTATCATATATGTGCTGAGTGTACACCTTGAAGGAGGCACATACATGTTCTCTTCCACCTAAAAAGCAAATCATCTGAAGTTTACGAGCATGTAAGAACATTTTGAGTAGCTGAATCGCTCGACTACTCAATTAGAATCCTAGACTCCATACTTTCCTATTCAAGGACCTGTTGTGTTAGATCCTCTATATTCCATAAGAATACATATATGATAAATAACCCAATTTATCCTAGGATCATGATCAGTAACGCATGATATGATGTCTGCTTCATAAATGGTACAATATATGCCTATGTAGCATCAGATATATCAACAAATACTACAACATGGCAATCATATCTCAAAATCACACCAGACTTAGCATCTTAAATCTGGCAATATCTGTATTTGCCTTACACATAAGGTTATCCATTCTCTATACAGTAACATACACCTTTTCACTAAAAGAACCCAATTAAGTATCAACTCCTACAAAATTTCCATTGATCTAACCTTCAAAGATGCAGTTACTAAAATGCATAACCCAAATCAACATATCCTTTGGCCAAAGGAATGTTCAGGCATTTAACTTCACCGCAAGCAGAGTAACATCCTGCATTGCAAATTCCCAACCTCCCCTACCAAAAAACCGATCTAGCAGACCGAATACAATTTCTCAATGCAGACCATTACCATCCGCGCGACAGTTCTTATGTACACGAGAATCCCAGCAGAAGAACTAAAAACATATAGTCGTAGTAAATAACACTTCACAGATGATCCTTTCTACTTCACATAAACAGGAAAATCACAAAATTAATTCCTCAGACAGAAGAGATTATACATACAGTTGCACATACATACCTATAAAACAAAGAGAAACCTCACCTGCGAGGAAAACAAGACAGGCGGGCGAGACTGCCGGAGGTCGTGCGGGGGAGAGCTAACCATCAAATCAGAAGAAGCCACGCGCGCCGTCTGCGCGTGGTTCGAAAGCCCCGACACCTCATCCCCGCCACCGCCATTCTCAACGCCTTCTTCTTTGCCATTGGCATTCCCCATATCTCCACTCGAACGAACAACCGATGGAATGCAGGAATCTGTGCGTGCGTGAGTACGTCTAGAAAGAGAAACTGCAACGGAAATGGATTGAAGAGATCTCTGTCAGCCTTCGGCGGTGTGAGAGAGAGAGAGAGGTCGGTGGGTGGAGGGATCGACCTGGAAATAATAGAGAGGAAAATGTCAACTTGGCGAAGAAAAAGAAAATGAGAGGATAGATTTTCGTACATGGTATGACCTGGATCGTCGAATTTGGATAAGCTCAATATTTGAATCGTGATCTCGGCCGTCGATTTCATCAGTCTCGTTGCGGCGTGTGCGTGTTGTCACGTCCGAGTATATCTTATTAAAAAAGAAGATTATCTTATTGGAAAAAAATACAAAATGAAAAAAATTTCTATATATATTGAAAAAGAAAGGTCAATAAATCAAACGAAGAAAGTTTTAAAAAATTCGAAGTCAACCTTATTGACTTACCAAATTTGGCAATCCCCTTTCAAACGTGGAATTCAATTTTTTTTGTACGGATAGACGTGAGCAATTTGTGGCCTAATTGTAGGCTAATTTCGAATTAATCTTATCAAAATCTCCTTATTTATCTCTATTAGTTATGAATACTCCGTTTAAAAAGGTTTTATCCTTATTTAACAGATTCTTATCTTTTAGTTATATACTAACAATATCCTCCCACAATTTCGGTAGAGATAAACATGTACAGTGTATAAAAGGGTAGTCATTGATACCCTTTTTCATTCACCTCATCAAACGCGCAACACACTCATAATACAAAAATAAAAGAAAAATCATGACAACATATTTTGAAAACATTCAGGCCGTCAACATATCCAACAAGCCTTTTTTGAGGTTGAGAGTAATCCGTTTGATTGAAACTCATGACGATCTGGAGCATCGGAATGCTATTCATATCCTGTTTCATGATCAACAGGTAATTAATCGAATTGTTTTATTAATACATAACTACATGTAAAACTACTATTAGCTTCATAGAGGGCGATGTGTACGGAATTCGCAATTATAATGTTGAATATAATAGGGGGAGGTACAATGCAATAACCCACCATTGGAAGCTTGTGCTTAATGGAAGAACTGATGTATGCAAGTACAATGCGAATTTTCCTCAATACAATTTTCCTCAACACTAGCGAGTGACAGATGCGGCATACGAATTTTCCTCAATACAATTTTCCTCAACACACTCATCAAATTATTTTTATATGTATTTTGATTTCAAATTCCCAATTATAAGGTTTGGTGAAATTTATTATGTTTAATTTATTCCGATTGTGAATCAATTTTTCGGCAATTTTGATTCCATTTTATTATGTTTTCTGTCGTATAAAAATGTCGGGTAGATCTTTATTATACATTAATTATCAATATTGTAGTTGGATCTTAAAAAAAAAAGTAGATAATTTCCAATAAATTTTGTAATTAACAATCGGAAACTTAATAAGACAACGAGTATGACAATAGATTGCTGCTGTAATATAATATACATTTTACTATCTTTTTTTTTTTCGATAAATTCGATAAATTTACATGCATGAAAAAAAAGGCCGAATAGTGAAATAATGCAACATAATAATTTGTGTTTTGCATGAAAATTAAATATCATGACAACCGGATTTTATTGATATTACACTTTAATAAATTAATTGAACGGATTTTGTATATTACACGTTATTTATATTACACTTATAAACCATTCGTAATTCAACTGATACAGGTGATCGTTTAGAATCTAAAATATCTCTTTCTTTTTAAATTAAATATTAAAATCAAATGTTTATTTTTGTAGAGGGGAAGTATATATGTAATGCGTCCATAAATATCGGCATTAAAATCTCTTTAAGATTCTAAACGAATTTGGGAAACCTTAATAAGTTGGATTTCTCAATAAATTCGGATTTACAAAAGATTTATATTATATTAGTAATTTCAATATGATTTTAAACAATTATATATGTAATGTGTCCATAAAAATTGCCATTCAAATCTCTTTAAGATTCTAAACGAATTTGGGAGACCTTAATAAGTAGGATTTCTCAATAAAAAGAGATTAACGAAAGATTTATATTATATTAGTAATTTCAATATGATTTAAAATCTATTACCACTTGGATTCGTCAATAATTTGCAAATACTATTACCACTTGGATTCCTCAATAAAATCTGATTTACAAAAAATTTATATTATATTAGTAATTTTATTTTTTTAAAATACTATTACCACTATAAATAAACAACCAAAAAAATAAAACGCATTCAATAAACCCTCACACCATCGTGATAGTATTTGGATCGTCTCTTAGAGATAAAAAAAAAAAACATGGAACAATATGGCTTGATCAGACAGTTCAAATTGAATATGATGAATATGAGCTTCGTGCTTAAGCTTAGGGCCATTCGTGTATTCAACCGAGCCTACCCAAGCAATCTAGAAATAGTTTTCCACGATATGGAGGTTATTGTAGTGCATTAAATTTGTTTTGCAATTATTGATTAATTTTGTATCTCAATAACAATTTTTCTTCGTTTGTTAGGGGAGCCGTATAACCGGCATTGTTCGTGATATGCCTATATTCGCTGGAGGTTTTGAGGAGGGTGAAGTGTATTTAATAAGCAACTACCTACTAGACATCAACATTGAAAAATTTCGATCTACTAATGGAGACTACAAAGTCGTAATCCATACGGACACTGAAGTTCTTCACATGCTTTCTGATTTCCCTACATGGCCATTTGACTTCTATAGTTTTGCAAATTTTCATGATGCGGACAGAGTTGATGACTCTATTCTTTATGGTAAAAATTTTAATTTGTGCTACTCGAATTTTGTTATATATCTTTTTTATTATTCATATATTACTTAATCAATGATATTTTTTTAAAAAAAATATATACTAGATGCTATGGTAAAAATTTTAAATTGTGTTGGACTCGAATTTTGTTATATTTTTAATTTTTATTATTCATATATTACTTAATCAAATGATATTTATTTTTTTTAAAATATATTGTAGATGCTATTGGCATGGTCGTCGAGGTGCAACCCATTCATTCAGAATGGATTCATGAAAAAGAAAAGCAAAAGATAGTTTTTTCAATGATGGATTTGGAGTAAGTTATAATTATTAATTGAATTATTCATTTATAATAATGTCGATTGAAATCTAATATTATATTATTTTTTCATTAAATAGTGGATTACTGATCCGTTGCACACTTTGATTATGTTGATACGTTTATTGCTTACGAAAATCACTTTGAGAATGAGGCAAATGGAAAACCATGGGTTATAATTATGCAATTGTGTAGGACATCACGTGACAAAGGTATTTCGAATTTGAAATCTATTTATTTTATAATACAATATAAATAATAAGATCAAATATAGTTTTAATTAAAATTTAATATATATTGTTTTTCGACAGGTGAGTATCAATTGTCTACATTTCAGGATGTCACACGTCTTATTGCAGCTAATATTCCGGAAATAATAAATTTTCGTGAGAAGTAAGTTTTCTCGAACAATTTCCAATTTGTTTAATTTTTGTATCATTTGAACTATGAATTTACAAGTATCATTGATACTTATGTAATTTTGTATATAATTTATAATTTAATTGGCAGATTTTTAAAGAGCAAATGGTACAAGACGTCGATGTATTGTTCCAACAGCAAGATTTCATTGGAGAGAAAAATTGAAGATCTTGATATCACTGATATCGAGTGAGAAAATGGATGTTGAAAATAAATTGTTAGTTCTTTGTTTTTTGGCACCGAAATACTTGCTTTTTAAATTTTTTGAATAAGTAATTAGTTGTGTGTTTTTTCGCTATTTGAGTTTTATCCCATTTCATGATGCTTTGAGGACGTTTATTATACTACATGGGTAATATAATTAGTAATTTATTTATTATTCCACTTTGTGCTTATATTAGGTTTTTTTGTTTTTTGTTATATTCGTGCTCATCTCTGAAATTGGAAATGTTATTAAATTGTAATTATGAAGAGACGATATAAGATGAAAATTTAAAAACAATGTAATTCTGAACTTTCCGATTCATATAAAACAATGTGTTAGGTACTGGAAAACAAATAATATAAAAACCTTTTTAATAAATATTTAAGTTCAACTTATATTCAATACATTTTTAATTTAAATTAATAATACATGTAAAATAATAAATTACCTATTTAAAATTTCTTAAAGATGCACTATTGAAATGATATTAAAAATTTAGATCATTATTCGAAAACAATTAATACAACTTCTTATTAAGTAGATTTTTCATGAAAATCAAAACCGATTGTTATTAATTTTATGATTAATTTTAACATATATTTAATACTTTATAATTTCGTATTGAATAAATGCAAAATAATAAAATTAACCATTTAATATTGCTTAAAGATAACTATGCACCGGATTTGTTGAAAAAGATAACAATGTTGGACTTTTTTCATAACAATCTACATTGAGATAACTATGTAATTATCTTACAAATTTTTATAGATAACGCCATATATTTAAATTAAAATTTTATGCATATTGATAGAGATCTTCATATATAGTTTGTTACCGCGATTCCATATTAATGTAAATATTGTTAGAGATAAACCATAAGATATGTAATAAGAGTTGTAATATCACAAGGATTCCATATAAATCTCGATACATAGTTATCTTATTTTAATGTAAATATTGTTAGATATGTAATAAGAGTTGTAATATCACAAGAACTCCTACGTTGGCAAAATTCCCTTTGTGTAACTTTTTCCGTAATCATATGGAAACATATCCCCTAATTTACGGTTTGATATTATTAGTTCGATGAATAAGATATAGGGACAGATATATCATCTCAATAAAATAACTATAGATATTTTAATTTAGGATAAATATCTTTCTTTATATTCATCTTTTTAAATATACAAACTATATCTGTCAGATACACATATCCTTAAAAATAATTTTTAAATATCTTTTTTGTTTATATTCGACATAATATATTTAAATAATAAATATTATAAATATAAGAGATAATTCATATAGTTTGATTGCGCGTCTATATAAATCGGCATTTACACGAAGTTACACACGCAAATTAAATTTTCACAGAGCAATCTTATTTTTATCTCTTCCATTCGAACAGTTAACATGCCAGTCGTTTGGGGATATCTGAAGTCTGTTTCTCGCACCAACAAGCCATATTTGAAGTTAAGGGCTGTGCGTGTTTTTGAGAGACAATTTGATGCAAAGTACAAGAATTTG